GAAGACAATGATCAAGCGATTTGTCTCCTGCCATCTCTCTCCAGCCTCTGACAAACAGAGGCCAAGGACACCATGTTATCCCCTGGCTAATAGCCTTTTATGGACCTAACCTCCATGAAATTATCTAGCTTCTCTTTAAACTCTATTATAGTCCTAGCCTTCACAGCCTCCTCTGGCAAGGAGTTCCACAGGTTGACTACATGCCATAAAAGGTCCATAAAAGGCTATTAGCCAGGGGATAAAATGGTGTCCTTGGCCTCTGTTTGTCAAAGGCTGGAGAAGGATGGCAAGAGACAAATGGCTTGCTCATTGTCTTCAGTCCACCCTCTTTGGGGCACTTGGTGCTGGCCACTGTCAGCAGACAGGCTACTGGGCTAGATGGACCTTTGGTCTGACCCAGTACGGTCGTTCTTGTGTTCAGATACTGAACCTATAAGTCCCATAGACAATCCTATAAAGGTAATGAATAATTCTGTCTGCAGGGCAGGGTTTAGATAGCGTGCAGTAAATAAGGCCTGGGACTACACCTTGAACAACAAAGAAACCCAAGTATTAAATGGCTGCGAATTGACTGTGCATTAAATGAGGCTGGGAGCTTCTGGAAAAAATAGTGATCACGTAATTATAAAAAGTCTCAGAGGGATGGCCGTGTTAATCTGTAACTTTCAAAACACTGAGTGGTCCTGTGGCACCTTAGAAACTAACAAAAATATACAGGATCATGAGCGTTTGTGGGTAAAACCCACTTCATCAGACGAGTTGGAGTGGAAATAACAGAATCCAAGATCTATATAACAGCAGAAGCAGTTACCTGTCAATTGTAGGACCCAAGTTAATTAAGTCGGTTGGATGTGTCCCATTCATAGTTTTTTATATGAAAATGTGAATGTGAAAGGCAGGGAAAATTGGCTTGGTAGTGTGTTAACCAGTTAATGTCTTTATTCAAGCCCAGGGTAACAGTGTCAAATTTGTAGATGAATTCCAGTTCAGCTGTCTTTCTTTGTAATTGGGTAGTAAAATGCCTTTGTAGAAGCATGGCCCCTTTTAAATCCATGATTGGTTTAAACAAACAAGATTTGTTTAAAACAGGTTTAAAACAAGAAAAAGGAAGCTTTTCGTCACATAGCACACAGTCACAGTGCACAGTCAACCTGTGGAACTCCTTGCCAGAGGCTGTTGTGAAGAACAAGACTTTAACAGGGTTAAAAAATGAACTAGATAAATTCATGGAGGTTAGGTCCATCAATGGCTATTAGTCAGGATGGGTAGTAATAGTGTCCCTAGCCTCTGTTTGCCAGAGGCTGAAAATGGGTGACAGGAGAGGGCTCACTTGATGATTCCCTGTTCTGTTCACTCCCTCTGGGGCATCTGGCATTGGCCACTGTCAGAAGACAAGATACTGGGCTAGATGGTCCTTTGGTCTGACCCAGTATGGCTGTTCTTATGAGAATCCAGGCAGGTTAAAATGTTCCCCTGCAGGTTTATGTGTGCTACTATTCCTGATGTACTTATAGATTGTATCACGATGCATATGCACAAGGGGGTCAAATTAAATTTGCACAAGAAACCTTAAATTTGGGCATTTCCTAATATTTGAATGCTTGACTTTGCAACCTTAATGTCTGCAACATTATATACACCCAGAGAATTGACAAGCCATAATGGAATTGCAATATGAAGGCTAGATCCTACCTGAGTTCTTTAATTCAGGAATCTGTCTTCCACCTTGGCCAATAGCAGAACAATTCATCCTTTGAGGTTGGGAAGTTAGCCATTGGAGATTGTGATCAGAGCACAAACTATTAAGTGTCTTAGTCATGTAAGTCAATGGGCATTTTTCCTGACTATTTGGAGATTTACCCCAGAAAGGTAATTGTTCTGCCTTCTCCCTCCTCGCCTTGCTACAACAAAACCATCAGGCAGAAAGAAAAGGCCCAAGACTTGTTGCAAAGTGGTTAAATGTTCCCTGCACAGCAAAAGAACAGAGGGAGACACAGTCTGGTGTGCTAGTTAAGCGCATTGGTTCTCTACCTGGGTTTGTTGTGTTGGCCTAGTTTGTGTCTCTGAGTCTTTCTGGCTTGTATATTTAGAGTTAAACTCTTGTGTGCAAGGCCTGTTTCACATGCTCGGGTTGTACAGCTCCTAGCACAGTGGAGAACCAGTCTCTGTTGGGACCGTGTTTTATGATATGAGGGAGCATAAATGCTGTCAGCTAATGCATGCAAACGTTGTTAGCTAAAAGGGTGATGTGTGTCACGTTTATGTGGCTCACATTTAACCTTAATTGTGGAGGCCTTTGATGGTCATGTATGTATATAGCAGCAGTGGTGTGGAAAGGGCTTCAGAGGCCGGTGTGAAAGCAATTCTCCGCTGCCTTGCACGTTGCTCTGTCCTTTACACTAGTGCAACAGAAGTGCACCAGCACAATGAAGCCCCAGAGAGCCTGGTCCTGAGCTTGCAGGCATGGAACTCAGACACGGCCCCAGGCTGGTGAACCAGGCCCAGTGAGTTGTGCTCGTGATGTGAAGCCCCAATCTCCCCCCACCCCCCAATATATGCAGTGATTTCAATGGGCCTGTTTACATGGGTGAGGCTTGCTCACTTGAGTAAGAGGGCACCAGGAATGGCCCTCAATAAGCAGAACCCATAGACTACTCCAGCAAATGCAGCCCAAACCCATTTTACAGCTGCAGCCTCGAACGCTGCCCCCCTCCCCAGGGTCAGTGCAGGGAGGACTGCCGCAAGCAGGGCAGCCCAAAGAGAAAAAGGCCTTTTACCCTTCGGTGTCAATACGCCAATGCTCCGCTGGTGTAAGTCGACACAGGGCCCACGGTTTCCATTACACCAGCAGTAGATTTGGCCCCATGTGCCCAACCGGAGTCTGGTTTGCCTTGTGTTCACACTGTTCTGCTCCACTGACATCAATGGCTTCACTCCGGAGTGGCACAGGAGTGAGATCAGAATCAGACTCAGCCCCCCCAAGGTCCCTTTCCCAATTCCCCCACCCCTTCAGCCTGTTCCTGTTGTCCTGCTGGGATTTCGCATTGGGCCGGAAGGGAGAATTATTCATCGGCACCCAGCGAAGACTCAGAGGAGCGGTTGTGCCCAAACTGGCTGCTTGTGCTTCTGCACTGAATCACCTCAATTACAGCCTTTCCTTTGCGTCTGGTTTGGGAAAGAGAGGGATAAAGCCCCCTCCTCCTGGAAGTGGTGACAAAGGCCAAGAAAGGCGTTCCCTCGGCACCGGGAGGGGTATAAATAGGCAGCTGGTCCGGAGAGGAGCCAGATGCAAACAGGAGGCTGGGAAGAAACCAAGCTCCTCTCTGTGTGTGACAGAGCCTGGCACCCTGCTGCAAGATGCCCAAAATCTCTCTGCCAGTCCACTTCCTCTGCCTCCTCGCCTTGTCCTCAGCCTGCTACATCCAGAACTGCCCTCGAGGAGGAAAGCGAGCCCTGCCCGACACCGAGATCAGACAGGTACCAGAGGGGGCTGCTTGCATGCGGGGAGGGGAGGCTAATTCGTGTGCGTGCGGTACTTCAATACTCTGGGCACAAGGGTTTGCTCTCCAGTCCTGGGTGCGTTCGGCAAACTCCTGTGTGGAGACTCTACTCCAGTTTTGCGTGTGAGAGACACACTCCGCGCTGGCTGGCCCCTGCACACAGCTTGTTGGCCTGAATCTCAGACTGGCATTTCCTCAAGCTCCTGGTGCTTGCTCCAGAGTTTGCTCTTTGCAAAAGTGAAGTTGCATTGATGCTCTGAGCTAAAGAGCTTTGCATTGATGCTCGCAGAAAGGTGACATCTGAACCTGGTGCAAATCATCTTCACGAGCGCCAAGGCAACGCCAGCTAAGGATCTCTCCCCTCTCCCCTTCCTGCCCCCGAACCCGGTGCTTGTATGTACTGTGCAAAGGGAACAGATGAAAAAATCTTTACGTTACAGATCTTCAGATGTACTTATGGTGAAATTCTGGCTCCGTATTGGTCAATGGGAATTTTGCCTTTGACTTCAGTGCAGCCTGGATGTCACCCTTCATGCCAATGTGAATTAGTAGTACTGATGTAGCTAGCATCATTTCAGAAAGAAAAGCTCTGTCATAAAAGGAATTGCATTTTAAACACACATTGGTTTACACCAGCTATTGCTCTAGTACTTGGTTAAACCATTTCAGCCATAGCAAAGTGTTTTGCACCATTTCATTTTGGTTCTACCACATGTTGAGCAGATCCGAACACAAGAGCTGCCTGAGAAAGTCTATATCGTGCATAGATATGCGGGTTACGTAGAAGGATTTTAAATGAATGTGATTGGCTTTTTCCTATTGTGGCTGACTTGCTTTTTAGACATCTCTGATGTATTATAGTTTGTCCACCTATGGAAATTTGGTCTCCACATTTTGTGGGCCATTTAAGAAGCTAACAAATGAAGCACCACAGACAGGGCCATGTGCTCATTAATTAGAGCCAGCGATCAGCATTTTAAACCAGTTCCTTTGGATCAGAATTTCAAAGTGTCCCAGTCACCAAAAAGATGAAAATGTCCAGGTTGAATGCAAACATCTCTAAACCCCAGTGTAATTTTCCATTTCCACAGAGTTCACCAGGTTGGCTTTAGACTGATATGACTTGTGAGTGCAATTGCTAAAGGTTATGACTATATCACTTTTTTTATTAATAGTCACAGACAAGTCACAGGCAATAAGCAAAAATTCACAGGAGCCCAGGATCTGCCTGTGAATTTCATTAAAAATAAGGGGGGAGTAGGGTCTAGTGGGGGTGTAGGAAACTAACAGCTCCAGCCCCCAGTGCCTATGCCAGTGGCTGAGAGTTACCCCATCCCCCAAGACCTGGGGCTGAAGCTGGAGCAGAAAATGTCACAGGGATCGCTGAAAGTCACAGAATCTGTGTCCTCCACAACAAAATCGTATCCTTAATAATTACTTAGTAATTGTGTAGTGGTGTCGGTCCCACTACAGTTATTAAATGGGGGACCCTTTGATACAGAGATACACAGCGTGTGTCTGCATTGCCCCCACTCCCGGAGTAGCCTTTCCCATCTATCCTGAAGGGAGCAGGCAAAATGCCGTCCCCGCATCCAATGGACCGCAAGATGATTCCCATGCTGTGTGCTGGCACTGTATAGCGCACAGGAGCTACGATTAAGGCCTGGCTCTTATGTAGCATTCGTCCTCAGCAGCTCTCAAAGTGCTTTACAAAGGAGGTCAGGCTTATTCTCCCTGTTTTGCAGACGGGGAAACTGAGGCACAGAATTGTGACGTGACCCAGTCAAGGTTATCGACCAGGCCAGTGGCAGAGCCAGGACCTAAATCGGGGGCTTCTGAGGCCCAGTCCAGTGCTATAGGAGCCAAAGTCAGCTTGCTGCTAGGCGGTGCTGTTTGCTAGTCCTCTCCAGTCCTTTCTCGCCTACGGCTGAGGACAGCAGCCAGGGTTCAAGTAGTTCCTGATGTACATTGTGGGCGGGATATTAACACTCCTACTGCAGGGTTTAAGCCAATCTGTAGTAGAGACGAGGAGGAAACGACGCAGGGGGCAGGTTACCCCACAGCTGCCTATAGTGGGGCTCTTGCGCCTTCTTCTGAGGGTCTGGTCATTGACAGAGACCAGATGCTGGGCTGGATGGACCATGGGTCTGATGCAGTCTGGCAATTCCTATGTTCTTTCTTAATGTGACTCCATCATCTCTAGCAATTCCCAAGCAATTCCTCTCAGCCTCCAGAAGTTGATAGCATGAGCCCTATCCCTTCCAAAGGGTCATCAGCCAGACCCTCAGCACCACAACACTGATCTCTAGCACCTGAGCTAAAGCGCTAACTCCATTACTCTTAGTAGCAGTAGGTTGTTATCCTGCGGTGGATGGTCTCACACACACAACACACTGAGCTCTTTCAATGTTTGTAGACTCATGCTTAGCCCTCCTAGCTATACATAACCCTTTCCCTCTTTGCAAGACTGTCCCTCCTGCCACTGGTCACTTTCTGATGCTCTCTGTTGAGCTGCTTCTACTGAATGATTATAATTCAGTTAATGAAGTGCCCAGAATGGAATGCTCTCCTCCATTGGTGGTCTGTACCGGGAAGAGCTGTTATACCTCTTTATCCCATTATGCAACAAACCAGTGTGCTGAAAATCCTAGTGGGAAGGAAATTCTATTGACTAGAAAGTTCTCACTATGGGAGAGGAATTGAGGTAGCTCTGAAAGCCACATCATTCTACAACTTGGCTCTAGTTCCTTTCAGGCATGAAGGCATCTTTGTAAAAGATCCACCGCCACCTATGAATGACATTGGCTTCCACATCATATGCTGGAAGCCACAGTATGTCAGACATTTAAAAGAAAACTGGCCAGACGGGGCAGAACTTTGCCTTGACAGGAAGAGAGCAGGCAAGCTAGGAGACTATTTCTATTTCCTGGTTTTTGGACAAAAGCTTTGACTGCTAATGCCGCACACTTACCTAAAGCACTGGGAGCCATAAAACACTTCAAAAGCCCTGCCATTATCTCAGGGTTGGAGCGAGAGAATTAGCTCTTCCTTTTGCTAAAAAAAAATAGTAAGATAACTTATAACATCATCTGCCATCTGCTGTGCACGGAAAGATCTGATCCCAGCTGTTATTCTATCAGCTGAAAATGAGCATCCCTTACATTGGTGACCTTACAGGGATGTGTCCTCCATTGAGAAAGCTCCACAGTGCTTCAGGGGAGGACGAATGCCCAAGGTGGTAAGTGTGACGTGACCCAGTCAAGGTTATCGACCAGGCCAGTGGCAGAGCCAGGACCTAAATCGGGGGCTTCTGAGGCCCAATTCACCCACCACTGAAAGGCAGCCAGCTTGTGAACGGAATAGGTGCCCAGATACTACAGTGATGGGCAGGGGATACAAACACGGAGGGAGCTAGTTAATAGCTCACAGCAGCACCCGCAGGAGAATATTGGCTCCCACTGAAGCTGCAGGGGGCGCTCAGGGAAACAGGATGTAATTACCTGGTTGCAGTTCATCCGGGACACATGCACTATGATGGGCTCTTCCGTGGCATGGAGGCTGAGGCCCTTGCAGCACCTAGAACAGGCGGAGAGGGAAGGGGAAATGTCTGGTTTTAGGGCTGATCCCAGAGAGACAGTCCTGCCTCCCAGCTCAGGTTAAACGCCCTGTGGAAGTCAATGGGCGCTTTCCCCAAGCTGGACGGCAGGATTTGAGCAGCTATGAATAACCGCCATGCAACACAATGGGAATTCTGCCCTGTGTTTCGATGGGGGAGCCCGCACCCTTCAGGCCTGACTCAGGGAGTATAACAGCTTCCCGTTTGTGCACCCAATGCTCCTGGCTGGACTCACCCCTGCCTCCCACCGGTCAGATCGGGCCCCATCCTTATGCCGTGTGTGTTCCCCGAGAATGACCTCCCGGCAATCTGAGCTGGCTCTGTCTCCCCAGTGCATGCCCTGTGGCCCCGGGAACAGAGGGAACTGCTTCGGCCCCAACATCTGCTGCGGAGAGGAGCTGGGCTGCTACGTGGGCACTTCTGAAACCCTGCGCTGCCTGGAAGAAAACTACCTGCCTTCCCCGTGCGAGGCCGGCGGGAAAGCCTGCAGCTCGGGAGGGAGGTGTGCCGCCCCTGGCGTTTGCTGTAATGATGGTAATAGAGGGGTAAATATAACATTGGTGGGGGGGCCTCTCAAATAGTATCTGCCTTTGCCTAATAAATCGTCTCCTCTCCTGGGTACTTCACTGCCCCCTCCCCCCCATGTCTATAGTAGCTGAGCCCCTCACAATCTTTAATGTACTAAGTCGCATAACACCTCGGTGGTGTAGAGAAGTGCTTTTAGCCCCACCGTAGCGATGGGGAAGGGGCAGATCTCATCCACTGTCAGAAGCAGGCTAGTGGGTGAGGTGGTATGATCCAGAATGCCAACAGGCTAGTGGGCGAGGTGGTATGATCCAGAATGCCAACAGGCTAGTGAGCGAGGTGGTATGATCCAGCTGTGCTCTGGGATTGGACCATTTTTGGGGAATATAAGTAACAAACCTGGATCAAACCGACCCGACACCCTTCGTTTTCGCTCACTCGCGAAGCAGGACAAACGTCTGTTGACGGAACCTGGATCAAACCGACCCGACACCCTGCACCCTCGCGAAGCAGGACAAATGTCTGTTGACGGCACCAGAGACGTTGCATGAGTAAGGAGTTCAGGATTTGACTCAGCACAAACACCTATGGCTTATATGATACTTTATATCCTCCAAGGCTGTGTCTAGACTGGCCACTTTTTCCGCAAAATCATCTGCTTTTGCGGAAAAACTTGCTAGCTGTCTACACTGGCCACTTGAATTTGCTTTTCCGGAAAAACTTGCCAGCTGTCTACACTGGCCGCTTGAATTTCCGCAAAAGCACTGACGATCTCATGTAAGAGTGTCAGTGCTTTTGTGGAAATACGATGCTGCTCCCATTCGGGCAAAAGTCTTTTTCTGAAAAGCTTTTGCGCAAAAGGGCCAGTGTAGACAGCAGAGATTTGTTTTCTGCAAAAAAGCCCCGATCGCGAAAATGGCGATCGGTGCTTTTTTGCGGAAAAGCGCGTCTAGATTGGCCACAGATGTTTTTCCACAAAAAGTGCTTTTGCGGAAAAGCGTCCATGCCAATCTAGACACGCTTTTCCAAAAATGCTTTTAAAGGAAAACTTTTCCGTTGAAAGCATTTCCGGAAAATCATGCCAGTCTAGATGTAGCCCAAGTGCTTTACTAAAGAACCTGCCAGACTCAAGGTAGGGTTGTAAAAGTATTACTAAAAAGCCCTATCTTCCAGATGGGGAAACTGAGGCACAGGCAGGTGACTTGATTTGCCCAAGTCTACAAAGCATGTCAATGTCAGAACTAGATTACAACTCAGGAATTCCTGGCTCCCCACTCCTAACCTCCATTTGTTATGTATTTGCCAGCAATATGCTATTCATCCACTAGATGTCTCTGTTTGCTGCAGTGTGTTCAGGCCAGGTTGCAGTTCCTGGTAAACAAGGGAGAAAAAGCTGGAATGTAAGCACCGTGGAAGCTTTTTTGTGGCAACAGTGGCAGCTTCTTTTGTTTAATGAGTCCCACCTGTTTAAGAAAGTGCATAAGATCACAGTCTATTACACCAATCCCTGGAACTCACTGCTGCATGTAACATCACTTTGGTTTTCTTTGCTTGTTTCAAAGAGGGCTGCACCATGGATACCATTTGCCTGGATGATGAGAATGACAGAAGTCGAGAGCCCTCAGAGAAGAACCTGACGGTGCTGGATGGCTCGGCGAGTGACTTCCTGCTCAAGTTGATGCATTTGGCGAACAGGCAGCAACAGGGGAGGCACCAGTTCTACTGAGGGAAAGGTGCGGCATCAGAGAGGCGTCTAACAGCGAGTATGCTGCTTACGTTTGGCAGCACCTCCCAAAATCCTGACACGATGTAAAGGGGCAGCCCTTTCAGAGCATTGTAAATAAGTGGCCAATAAAGTCTTTTATTGCACTGTGCTCTTCAACTTTGTCCTGTGTCGTTTGCACGGACGCCTTAGGGCGCTAGGGCCGAGAGCTGCAAGGAATGGGGGCTCATGTGAAGATGTGCCCACAGGTGGCACATTGGGGTGCTGAGCTCTCAGAAACCTGGCCCTTTGTGGCTTGGCAGCCCTTACTCCTTCAAGGGAGGGGGCAGAGATGCAGCAGCAGGATTCTGATCTTCCGAGTTTCCCCCAGCTGAGAGAGGCAGCTGAGAGGGAGAAACCAGGCCTGGTGGGGTACAGCCCTGCAGCAGCACAGCTCCCACGATCACAGACTCAGAGGGTTGCTTCAAACAGCACGGAGAACCCCCCATAAGTTCTATGTGGGGGGACACAGCTTAGGACACCCCCACAAAGCCGAGAGGCCTGGGCAATGGTTTTAAAGGCTCCTGTCGACCTGGCTACCTGGCAAATAGCACCCCACAGCAGCGAGTCTTGGAGCCCCTGTTTACAGACTGGGGCTCACAGGCCTGGCACTTCAGGCGCTAGCTCTGAAACTCACCCTGGGGCTGCAGGAGCCGGCATTGGGGGTGAGTGCTGAGCAGGGCACATCTCCTGGGGGGGGGTCAGGAGCCACGGAAGACCACCCCAGGGGGCCTCCTCCCCCAGCCTAGTTACTGGTGGCGCCAGGCCATCAACTTTTACAAACATGTCCTGACCCCGAAGAGGTGAGAACCGCTGGCCTCCAGAGCAGCTGCCAGGGAGAGCGAGGGGGTGGCTTGCTCGGGGCAGTGCCTTGGCATGGGTGGCTGATACAGCTCTGGGTGTCTTGCGGCCCAGGGGCTCAGACAGTGACGGGAGCCGTACAGTCGCTAGGACGAACGCGTGGGTGGAAGGAACGAACGCGGCTTTGTCAGAAAGAAGTTCAGCTGGATACATCGATTGTGACGACGCTCACTTGCAAGTCCCTGCTGGTGTCGCCAGGCCAGGCCGCCAGTGGGCACAGCTGTTCGGGTGTAAACAAACAGCCCCCAATACACCCACCGGGGACCTTCACCAGCAATAGGTCTCGTCCGCTCTCCGGTGACTGAGCCGGGGCGGGGGGTCTGCCTCCACTCACAGGGGAGCATGCAGGACATGCTGTGCATGCGGGTCCATGGCCACGGGAAGGGGGAACCCAATTCAGAGACGCAGCCAGGCAGGTGAAAGGCTGGGGGGGTGCACTCCCCCTCCCCGGTCCGGGGCTGCCCAGGCCCTAAAGCTCCCCCTCCCACACCCTTTAAGGAGGGGAGGGGCTGCAGCCTTGTGTAGCTGGAACTCTGCTTCTCTTCTTCCCCTGACTGGGATCTAGGGACAGGGAGCACGGGGAAAGTGCGCAGTGCGTGAGCCTTCCTTGCGCCCCAGCTGCCAGGGCAGGGCAGAGTTCACACAAGCTGCCGCACTTTCCTTCGCTCCCCCATTGCCGGGGGAAGAGCAGCTTCGACGCTGCCCCTCCGAAATGGCACCCATGACCCACACACTCATCCCTACACCCCTCCAGCCCCTGCCCTGATCCCTGCACCCACAAACTCCCCTGCCCTGAGCTCCCCACCCTCCACCCCATCTGTCGTATCACCCCACCCCTGCCCCGAGTGCTCCCGGATGGGGGTGGGGCGATATGACAGGACCAGCAAGAAACGTAAGATCCTTTCCCCCCTGTGAAATACGAGGCGCAATGAAAACCTCACAAACATAGTCAATCGCTCTTTAATACTCTGAGACGACGGGGGCACGTAATTAACGTTAGCTAAGCAGTAATGCTCAAGAGGTGAGCCGGGGGGGGGCAAAGTCATATCTTGGATGCCCCCCCAGAACAGCGTATTGTGCACACACCCCTGTTGTTCAGCCTGGGGCTCAGACACCTGCGCTGCTGTGGAGCCGCGGCTGAATTCTGGGGCAGCTATGGAGCCTCGCCACAGCTTGCAAAGCAAAGAGCCCGGCTCCGACACTGCTCTGAGCAGGGCCTCCCTTGGGAGTCAGGGGGGGCCCTGAGCACCGGGAGGCCCTGTCAGGCCCCCGCTGGCGGCCGCCGTCCTGGAGCTGAGAGAGGCGCTTGGCTGGCCCAGGGGTAGCCTAGCAAGTGCCACCTGGTTTCCAGTTTGGTGACCAACGCAGGCCCGAGGCCTGGCAGGGAGGCATTTCCTCAGGAAAATCCCCTCACACCCAAAGCTTAAAACTAAGCACAGAGGGCAGAAGAGAGCTGCTTTGGCAGGGCAGGGACTGGCTCTTCCAGCAGACCCCCCACCCAGCTCCCAGGGGGTCTCCAAGGAACACACCGGCCTGGAGCCCAGGGCTGCTTTGAGGTGGAAAACACAAATGGCTGCAGTTTGACACGTTTCTCATTCGCCTCTCCCTGGGCCGGGAGGCTGCCCAGGTTCCCATGTGTCCTGCCCAATGATCCACCACCCTGCTCTCCCCATTACACCGCAGCACCCCAATTGCCCAGGTGCCAGTAGCAGCTCCTCCTCTGCTTCACCCAACTAGGTTCCTAGCCTGCTGTGCAGATGGGGAAACTGAGGCAAAGTGGGTAAGAGCTAGGGCAAGTTTGGACCCACTGTGAGTGCACAAAGAGTGTCACACCCTGTTGCATCCCATATAGTGACTAGGAACAGCCACAGACCCTGCTCCCTCCTCTGCCCTCCCCCTCAAGTCCCTGTTTATTGGGGAGGGGTGCTCTCCCCCCTGTGCTATGCAGGAGAATAACACAATGGTCCCCTTGAGATCCTTCCAAGCCCTTGACCCCCACTCACCCTTACACCCCCCAAATCCCCTGCCCTGAGCCCCCCTTCCAGCCCCCTGCCCTTATTCCTGAACCCCCCTAACCCGTTGTGACATAGTGGGGGTAACTCACTGGGGCTGTGGGTGACCAGAAGGACAGGGGATGAGTCATTATGCAAAGAGGGTCTCTCAACCTGTCTGACCAGTTACCCCCATGGAGAGGAACAAAGGAAGGTGGAAGGCCGCCCGGGCTGGGGGGCAGGGCTGGAGGAGAGTTAGTTAGTTTCTGTCTGGGAGCATGGAGGAAGCAGCCTCGGTTGGGGGGTTTAGAAGCCGAGACCCCCCCCCATATCAAGGGGGGCTGAGGCATCCTAGGCCTGCCCTGCAACCAGATTACATCTGTGCTGTGCTGTATCCTGGAGAAGCAAGAAACTCCCTCTATTCTGCTGGCTGGTGGAGTCTGTTCGTGCCATTTCAGGGGTGCAGGAGGCAGGGGAACCCCAACGCGTCGTCACACCCGTCCACCCTGAGCCCCCCACGCCCTCAGTCCCCTACCCTGACCCTCATTCCTCAGCCTCCTGCCACCCCCAGCAACCTCTCCACCTCAGTGTGGTCCTGGCCTTTCCTCTCCTTGTCCCACAGCTTGCACATGCATCTCTGTTCCGTATCCAGGCACCTCGATATCCAGGCGATTTGAGTCTGCGTGAGACATCCCTCCTAGGCTCCATGGAGGCTTCTCAGAAGCAGAGCTGGTGACATGCAGCCACGCACGCCTGCACTCAGAGCTGCGGGCTGGTCAGGGCCTCTGGAACCAACCCCATTTTGAGGGGATTTGGACCCATGTGCGTCAGAGCAAAAGGCCTTTGCCAGCTACAAGCAGAGCGGGAGGACTCAGGGTCAGAGTTTGAAAGGTATCGAGGTGGCTGAAGATTGAAATCAATGGACGATCCACACACCGGTGCTTTTGAAAACTCCACCTTGTACCTGTCTGCATCTTTAGATGCCAAAATACCTTGAAAACCCTGGGCCAAAGTCCCCAAGTCAGAAGCAATTGTAGACTCAAACGTCTCATGTGAGTCAGCTACCAGAGGGAGACAATAGCCCATGCCGTCTGGATTCTGTGCATACAATGCCTCACACAATGGCACAGGTGCCCGACACTACCACAATACATTAATACAGGGGTCAGAATCTGCCCCATCAATTGCGTCAGTCTGCATTTGTACCCAGGGGAGGTCAGATTCAGGCTTGCTGATTTCAGGGGAGTTGATCTAACAATACACCTGAGAGCACAAGTTATCTCACTGGTTACTTTGCTTTACTGCCTTGCACACGTTTTGTACCCGCATCGAACAGCAAAACACGGGTGCCTCTGGATGAGAGCAACCCAGCCCTTTCAAAACGCCATCCCCCTGCACTGAGATTCCAGTGCCTGGAACTGCCAAATGCCCTATGAGCTACGGATTGTCTCATGGCTTATGGCACCCACAGCTGAGAGAGAAGTGAGTTCAGAGGGTGCGTGGTTGCAAGCACCCTGCAACGCTATTCATCAACAGTCTCACAGCCAAAGAGCTCTCAGTCCCATAGGGTGACGAGCCGAGTGTGTATCTAGTGAATCAATCACACAACACGGAGACCATCCCCACAGCCCGGCAGGGCCGCTCTCTCCTGCATATTCATTCCCTTGTCGAGTCGGGTTCAAAGAGAGCCAGGCCCTGGGGCTACCGTAATTAACCAGGTCTCACGGGTAGAACTTCCCTTTGCTGTGCCATCCCGTGATTCTCACCCACACTGGCTTCCTGTTTCAGGGAGCAGGGAAGTTCTGGGGCTGGACCCCAAACTATCTCTAGCGCCTGACACGTTGCAAAGTTCTCTCTTGTTGATGGGGCGTTCTGCTCAGGGACAGCCAGAACCTTAAGCCTCTGCGTTCCCCTCTTCCCCAGCTGGGGGGGACTTTGCTGGAGATGTTCCCTGCCCCATCAGCCTTCCCGCTTCGCCCGCAACCCGCTTGACACTCTGCCGGTCTCAACCTGGCCTTGCAGGAGACAAGCAGTGAACGGCAGTTCCCCAGAGACATCTCCTTGCAGCATCTAGTCCTTCTTGCTGGATGCTCACAGAAATGACTAAGTCCGCTGCCTCCAAAGAGACAGCGTGCTCGCCAGCTGGTTAGCTTTGCTGAAGACTCGTGCTTAGTTCAATATGATAGCTGTGAGATGATGCACCGTAAAACGAGGGGAACGTTTATTAAC